CTTTAAAGTGTGTAATATTATGTCCAGGTAAATTAAAATGAACAGCAATAGGCCTATCTTTTTTGTTGTGGCGAATGTCAAATTTATGACCATTCATGCCTTGTCTGACAGTTTGGCAAGTTTCTCCTATGTAAATAGTACCAGGACATTTAGTGCATGTAATGGCATAGATGGCATTAGATGAAAAAAATGAAAATGATCCACTGATATTGTATGTAACTTGATTAGGCCCTGTAATGGTTCTGCTAGTGTTTATGTGTGGGCAAGGCGACATTTCTGTTGGTTACATGGAATGGTGCCCTTAGTGGTGGGGGTGTGGGGTGTTTTGTTTGAAGTAAGCTGTTGTTTGAGGTGGGGTGGTTGTTTGTATGCAAGCATAGGTTTGTTAGGTATGATTTTGTGAAGTACAGGGTCACTATCTAGTATAGGTTGTAGATCGTTGATAATGTGTTGTAAAGGCTTAACAAGTGGATTATAGGTGACGATAAGTGGGACACGATGATCGGTCTCCTTCTTTCTGTAGGTCATGAGGTTTTCTCGTGGTATCCTAGTGGCTTTAGAGATTTGTTTATTAACAAGTTTGGAATTGTAATGCAGGTTGTTGAATGAGTTACGGAGGTGGTTGAGTTGCTGGGTGTACGGTAAGAATGGCCCCGGAAAAATGGCCCCGGAAAAAATGGCCCCGGAAAAAAGGCCCCGGAAAAAATGGCCCCGGTAAAAATGACCCCATATGACAGGTAGGTAAAAATGGCCCCAATAATCAAATTCTGTATTTAAAACTGATTTTCTTGATTCAATATATGCATTTTTTGGTCTTAAATAATTTAGTTTTTAAAAGGAATCTAACATCAAACAAATTGCCATTTACATTTTACTTTTTGCAAGAATTAACATTCAATGATAAAATATTCAAAGATACCCTCTTAATTTCACAAAAGAGTGGGTTCTTTTCCAAACAAATACATCCTGCCTAATATTGTGTGTTTAGATTAGATCTTTTGCTTTAACTTTGGAAATTGAGATCATTTTAGATACTATATCTGTATAAACTAAATTTTTTTTCATATTACTGTAATCCTAATGTTTTTTGATAAATTTACTCTGCACTACGGATTTTCCAATAAAAATTTTAAAAATTAATTAAAAAGACCATAGATTAAAAATAAGTCAGGCGTAACATATTTTTAATCTATGTTAAAGCATAACTATTTTTACATAATGAAATTTAGTAAATCAAATTATTATTTGTGGCTTTTATTTATTAAATCAATTAAGAACATAATCTCAAAACAAAATTTAGATCGACGTTTCGGGTCCATCATGGAATCATTCTCAAGATCAAGTAAGTTGAAAAAACTAAAAACAAAAATACCAAGCAGTGACAGGAAGTAAGTAATTAATTTACATATCAATAGGGCCTACTGTGTGGAGCCACAGTGGAGCTAAGCAATAATTAGCCCTTCTTAGCAGATTAACTAGATAAACAGTTTGGCTTTGACTGAATCAGTTTGTTTGTTAAGTGTAGGTTTCAGTTCAAAGAACAAAACAAACAAACTGATTCAGTCAAAGCCAAACTGTTTATCTAGTTAATCTGCTAAGAAGGGCTAATTATTGCTTAGCTCCACACAGTAGGCCCTATTGATATGTAAATTAATTACTTACTTCCTGTCACTGCTTGGCATTTT